AGACATACAAAAACTATTTGTCAGTAAAAACTTCACTCTATATATAAATCCAAGTACGCTAAATATACTGAGCCACTGAAATTACTGTAATATAGTTGGCATACTTTAACACCTTCCCTCATTAAGTATTTTCAACCAATCCCATGAGTTTTGAGTTTCAAAACTTGTTTTGAACAAAGCTTTCGTCAGCAAATCGGCGACTTGATGTTCTGCTGAAATTTTCTGGATATATATAGCACCTTCCAGAACTAATTCTCGCACAAAGAAATGTCTAATCCTGATGTGCTTGGTTCTTCTGTGGAACTCCGAGTTTTGGGATAATTTTATGGCAGATTCATAGTCAACCAATAACACTGGTATTTCTTTTAAGAGTCTCATTTCTTCATGAAATCTTTTAAGCTAAATCAACTCTCTCAATGCCTCAATAGTAGCTACTATCTCTGTCGCACTTGTGGAGATGGCCACTGAACTTTACCTCTAGCTGTGCCAGGATACAGCGGCTCCTGCAAAGGTAGACAATGCTCCAGACGTTGAACGACCAGTGGTTTCATCCCCGCCATTATCTGCATCACTAAAGCATTCTAATTTCATACCTTTTGGATCAGCTTTGTAGAGGATCCCGTAGTTGCTTGTTCTCTTGATATATCAAAAAATCCTCCTGACCCTTACAAAGTCAGTGTTAGATGGGTTCTCAAGGTTTCTTGATACAACACTGACTGCATAGGCTAGGTCAGGACGTGTACCTGTCATGAGGTACATCAGGGCTCCCACTGCTTCTCTGTATGAAAAAGAATATTCGCAGTTTTCATCAGATACCTCTACCTTCCCTGCCTCGTTAGTATCTTTAGTAATAGGTATGGACACTGGCTTGCAGTCTAGCATTCCAAATCTGTCCAACAATTTTCTTGCATAAGAGGACTGGCTGATTCGAATCGACCCATCTTCTTCTCTGTCTATTTCTAAACCTAGGAAATAGGCAGCTGGCTTGACTTTTATTTTGAATTCTTTCTCCAAATCTTCTAAAAATGTTTTTTCTTTTTTTCAATTTCTTGTCGGTAGATGCTAAAAGACCGTCGTCTACAGAGGGCTAGAAGGAGAATTTGTGACTGTTTTTTAATAAACAAGCAAGGATCAGTTTCACTAGCTTTCAATCCTAATTTATTAATATGGTCCACAAACCTTTTATTAAAATAACGAGGTGCTTGTTTTAGACCATATACGGTTCTCTGTAAGTGACAAACTCGTTTACTCCCATCTTTCGTAACCCGCAGGTTGTCTCATATACACATTTTCTTCTAGTTGACCATATAGGAATGCTGTGCAGATATCGAACTGTGTTAGGGACATCTTTTGGATGGCAGCATTACTCAGTAAAGCTCTTATCGTTGCAGTCTTTACAACAGAATTAAAAGTTTGGTCGTAATCAATACCTTCCCTTTGTGAATATCCCTTGATGACCAATCGTGCCTTAAACTTGTCAACGGCACCATCAAAAAGGGTCTTAACTTTATACAACCACTTACAAGGTATAGCCCTTTTACCTTTTGGAAGTTCTTTTAAAGTCCAAGTTTCATTTTCTTTAAGTGACTGCATTTTGCTTTCCATTGCTTCAAGCCATTTTTCCCTATTTCTGCTTTGAACAGCTTCTTGATAACTTTGTGGTGCGTCGTATTTCATAACATTTGCAAATGCAAGCATTACATAATCGTCAAAACTCTTGTTTTATTATTTTCCCACTCCTCAATTGCATTCCTTCTTTATTTTCTTTTGATGAAGATCCTCATCCACATCATAGTTACTTTCAATTTCATCTCCAGCGATTTGTGCAACTTCTTTCAGTTGTCAACTTGAATTTTGATGCACCGTTTCTCCATCAATGTCTTCTTGACATGTAGCTTTGACATTTATTAAAGTTTTTCATCAAAAATTACGTCACGAGACCTAATTAGACGTTTATTTTCTTCGTTCCGGTTGCGATAGCCGCCATTTTCATCATAACCTAATAAAATTACTTTGACAGGTTTCTTGTCCATCTTTTTGCGGGTTACTTTAGGAACATGGGCATAACAAGAGCTGCCAATTACTCTCATTAAGCTAGGTTTCTTTTGGAACCAAACTTCATAAGGTGACTTGTCTTTTTCACCTAACACACCTAATCTATTGAGAATATATGCAGCTGTATTAATCATCTCAGCCCATAAAGATTGTGGTAGTCCTTCTCGAGCATGCATAATAGCTCTGGCTGTTTCAACCATTGTTAAGATTATCCCGTTCAGCGCAACCATTCTATGCATGGTCAATATTTGCCTTACTCCGTACGTTTGCAGAATCTGTCGAACTTTATCGTTATCGAATTCACCGCCATTATCATAAATAACTCTTTGACGACATGTCCTGTTACTTTGATCTGAGGCAAAACACACTCAAATTTTTCATAAACTTCTGAATTCTGTTTAATGAAGAACACAAATCGATACCGGCTAAAGTCATCCTTAAATAAAACAAAATAACGGCAATTTGAATGAGAGTTAACAAATAGTCCACAAACATCTGTGTGAAAAAGTTCTCCAGGGTTTGTTGCACGACATCTATTTAGTCTGTGTGCTTTAATATATATACAATCCTCACAAATTTCACTGTCTAATTCAACTTTTACCCCAAGTTCGCGGGAAATGAAATATTTAATATGTCTCTTGTTTTGATGTCCAAAACGTTCGTGATACAACTGTAATACGTTTTTATTGGACACTGAATTAACACTATTATTTACAACATTTACATTATCTGGTTCGACAGTCTTAAGATTCAACTTATATAAACCTCCATAACGGCTCCTTTTTCTTCTAAAATGGTCTGTCCATTAACTAGGAAACTGCATACTTCGGTTTTAGATACAAATTTACTTTTTGGGTGTCTATCTTGAGCAGCAAGGGAAGAGAATGGGTTTTTCTTTATATTTGGAACATACCAAATATCAGCAAGATTTACTTTACGTTTTCTTCCGCGTACATTAGATTCAACTGTAACAATACCTTTGTCAAGAGATTTTACGCATTCTCCATTGGCTGTCGTAACACAGTGTGATTCTATGAAGGGAGTAAAATCTTGAAATATATCGCTACGCTAGGTTATATGATTGGTAGCTCAATTATCTATATACCAATCCCCTTCATCATACTTAGAAAAAAGCATATTGCAAATCACCGCAATTAGAGTCATGTTCACACCTTGCTCGTTTTTGGAAGGTTTGCCGTCTGCTTTTCACTTCTTACATTGCTTAACAAAAGGTCCAGATTCTTTGCAGTAGTAACAGATTAATTTCTTCTTAAAATTGCGTTTACGTAAGCACAAAGTTGAGTAGATTATCTATATTGCAATTTGATTTTGAAATCAATTACCAGCTCGATTTAAAGGAAAAATATTCATCTGGTAGGGTCTCCATAATTTTATACATGAACAATATACTGGGTAGCTCACAACTACATTTACTCTTAGAGTTTAACTTTTCTTTGCAAAATTCTTTCTGCAGCTCGTTCCACAGATTCTTTAATTTTGAAGTGTGAGATGCAATATCATCGTCGGGTTCTCTTTTATAACCGAAAAATTGCATGCACATATAGTAAGTCTTGTTCTCTAAGCTTCCATCATATAATCTATGAAGTTCACACCATATATCATGTGCAGTTTTGAATCTCATAATTTTCTGTAAAGTATCATGAGTCATATTAATTGTGTGAATCAATAACACACTGCTATCGGTTTTATTCTAGTTTTCTAGTTCCTTCTCGTATTTTGCCTTTTCTTCTTATGAAGCATCTGCTTTCAGGTTAGGAGTACTTAATGTGCCTTCTAAAATTTCCATAGCTACCCCTCTTAGCAGAATACATATTTATATTTACATGTACTCCAATTTGACTGTCCTTCAAGCAGCCCTATCTGAACTCTGCTTACATCCATATTAGCTTAAAGGTGTAAATGAAAACTGCTCACAAACTACTGTAGAACAGGGTAACCACGCTCTGCTACCATGTTAATGTGGATTAATACCCTGAGTTATGTACAGTTAAACCAAAAAGATTGTGAGAAAATATTATTTATTGAAAGACATCCAAAAACTATTTGTCAGTAACAACTTCTCTCTATATATAAATCCAAGTACGCTAAATATACTGAGCCATTGAAATTACTGTAATGTAGATATATAGTTAGCATACTTTAACAAATTATAGGAGATCCGACCATGTGATTACTGAACGTTTTGCCGGGTTATCCATCAAAATATGACCGCAAGTACTTATAATTAAAATTAAATCCTTTATTTTTTCGAACAAATTGGTTCACTTGTTTTGAAGAGAAAATATAATTCATATAAAAGAGATAAAAATTAAGAACTTAAAAAGTTTAGGTTGTAGTTTCTCACTTGGCCACAACCTCTTGTTAACCAGGTATAAACAGATATAGTTTCGGTCAATTTATAAGTTCATAACTTATCTTAATAAATTATATATCAAATTAAAACTAATTTTTATCTCTGCAGGATGGATTGAGGTTGCCTATGTAAAAGTGCCCGCAAATAGGGGTTGTCAACTGTTAAAATTATGTATCCAACACATGACTTTCCAGTAAAGTTGTCAAATACATTGAATACGGCCCATCTACAATATTTTTGAGCTAGCAGAGAAGCAGACACTCCCTTCACTAAAATGTCGATGGATATTGAGTTTACTAACTTAACATGAAGTTACTAACTAAAATTATTACGTCACGTGATTCTAATGATACATCAGTTTTTCAAAATATAACTTCATTAAATTCCAAAAAAATTTAATGGTGTTAAATTGTTTTTGGCCTTAATTTTTATAGTACAAATTTCCATATTTAAGTACCCACATTATTTTTAAATACTATATTAAATGCCTTTTGCTTTGTTATTATATTGTTGTAAACCAATCAGATAATAGCAAATAAGCATTTTAAACACCTAAAAGAAAATGGTTTACCTGCAGTTGATGAATGGATCCGGCAGAACTGATGCTCCTAATACTATTTGTAGGGCTAATAAATGGTTGTGGCGTAGAACTACCACTATTTACGTTCACCACACCTGAACCAGGAGTTCTCAACCCAGAAGGTGATGTTCCCAATCCAGGTGATGGTGTAACAGGAGTAATATTACTTGGGGGAGTTCCTGCATTACCCCATGGTACTCTTGGAATGACTGGACTGGATATGTTGCTTAAAGGATACTGTGGTCTGGATATAGGAGATGAAAAATATCCGCCGTTAGGATAAATCATCGTCTGTGAAGGAATGTTGGTTTGGAAGGCAGTAGCTGGAGATGTCATAGCCATGTGAGGCCAAAATTTGAAATGTGAGGGTTGTTGCTGAACCATTGGTGATGACAGCACGAGTTGTTGTTGACTATAGCTGCAAAAATAAGATATCAATTGGTATTTAAAATGATTTTTAAGGGGCTTGCATTTTCCTAATTTTTAATTTTTTTGTGGTAGTTGATTACAGATGGGTATACTCACACCCACACACTGGCAGATCGGAAGGGTAAGGAGAAATAGGATCAATTACCCCTCCCTTAAGACTAATAACCATAGTAGTTGATGCAATTGACCGCTGATACCCAATTTAAAAAAAATCAGCCCGTACTACAAACCCAGAAAACTGTTCCCCTGGGAAAGGTTCTGGATCCGTCCCTGGATGAGGTAAATAAAGAAGGATATATACAATCCTAGGTCTTGGGTAGAGTAGGGATTCATTCAAGACAATTACAGAAAGCCATCGAAGAAACCCTTAATGCTCATTTCATCCTCATGGGCATGTGCACATATTAGTTTTTTTTTTTTTTATTTAAATTCCTAATTAAAAAATAATGTGAAATCTAAAGCCTTATCAAATTTATGAAAAATTATGTGGCAGGCATAATGGGAATGACCATCTATTCATCTCTACTATCAATTATAAAATGTGGTAGTCGCTTTACCACAATATTAAATTTGTAGCCTTCAAATAAATTATATCTATAATTAGATATTTGAGTATTGCAATGAAAAATGTACTTACAGGTATATTTTTTCTACAACTAAAAATATATTTTCTAATAATACCATTTTTATAAATAGATACCAATGTAAAAATAAGTTATATGTCTGATTAATTTGCATTTATTTAAAAGTAAATTTTTACTAACTTTTGTTGTTTACAGAAATCGATGATGTCACTAGATGTAGAAGTAATAGGTGGAGGGCTGGCAAATGAAATTAAATCTGGTGGATCAGGACCACTTGAAGTACTATTTTTACGCTGGGAGGGAGGAGGAGGTGCCAAAAGAGGATTTGTAGAACTAGTTTGAACTCCTGGTCTAGGTCGTGATTTACTCTGCTGCCGATCATATCTTATTTGACTTGAATCAGTTTCACTCATTGAGGAAGCTCTAGTAACTAAAAAGTAATACACAATTATATTAAAATATTAACCCATTATTTTATAGATTCAATTTTCAGTCTTTTATACAATAAATATATTTAGCAAGCTGAATTTGAAAAATCATAAAATCAATTTGATAAATCTTATAATTCCCAAAAACACACTCAAATTCAACTGAACCAAGTTTAGGATAAGCAATGTATATAAATATTTTGACAGTGAACCAAAAATTAAAACACAATAAGTAAGATTTTAAATAGTAGTTTGTGCAACAAGAGTGGATATGATGGCCATATGTGGACAATCCACTCAAGTTGTACAGAATATTTTTTCTACAACCCACTTACAAAAAATTTACAAATAAAAAAAATATTTTAGGTTAGTTATTAAGACAAAATAACTAATTTTAAAATAATTTATAACTTTTAATAATTTTTAAAATAAAATAAACGAAAAAAAAGGTCATTTCATTTTTCCCCATCTGAGAATCGAACTCGAGTCTTCCGTGTGTAAGGCAAGAATGCTGACCATAGGACCATCTATTCTTTTATTTTTCTAGCTTTAATACTCGTGATTAAATTGACTTCATAGTTTTATTTAAATTAACAAATGATTTATAATTATAGACAAAATAAAAACAGAAATGCTATTATTTATTGATTCTACACAAGAATAGCCCATTTTAATGTATGTTTAATCTCAATAACTAAAAAATATACTGACAATTAGCCAGAATTGTCACTTATTTAAAATTTTAAAAATAATAGCAGTCGATTGATCAAAATATGAACATGGTGGATTTCATTTTTTTTGCAGTGTTCTCACTACCTAGAATGGATATGAAATATATTCGTTCAGTTGAAGGCGATAGCATACTTTTTTTGTTTTGTAATCTGTGGGCAGATAAGCTAATATCCATGTGGGTGTAGAAAAAATAATTTGCTCTACAACAAATGTTAATTTTGATAGGAAGTGTAGTTTTTACTCACCTGAAGTTGTCTTTGGTCTGTTAGAAACATTTGCAGTTGTCGCAGATCTGTTTAATTCTTGTAATTTTTTAGTTTTGAATTGTTCCAGTGCCAGAGATTCTAGACTCAGAGCCTGTGCCCTTTCTAAATCTTCTTGAAACTGTTTTTCGTAATCAGCCATTTTTATCTTTTAATAAAATTTATAATAATAATGGTTTGTAATCAGATTTTAGCAAATATTTTTAATTAAACAAATATTATCTTTTTTTTACAAACATTTCCCAATAACAGTTAAAACTGTAGAAATCACGACATTTTATTTAAATATGTTGTCTGCTTAAAATGTTTACTTACTGTTTAATTTTTGATTACGTATTCATGTTTTAGATGTAAATTTGTCTGTGAAAAGCAAATTAATTAAAAATTAATGTTAAAAACTACACAGATGTCAAATTAACAATAACAACCTAACCACAATCACACGATACCAGTGTTGCCAGAATATTTTTTTGTTATGTACCAGATTCCATAAAAATGTACCAGATTCTATGAATTGTATCCTAATTCTCGAATTGTCATGGTTTGGTTCATTGAAGAGCAAAAAAAAACTTTCATCGAGAACGAACACAAACAAGGTACCCGACAATATATTTTACCCGTCCAAATGAAAACAGACTAAAAAAGTACTAGATTTTGCTTTAAGTGTAAGAGTACCAGATTCTTAAATAATGTACTAGTTCTAGTACAATTGTACTAGACTGCCAACACTGCTCGACACGGAGTATAGAGTTGGAAGCAGTTGGAAGTAGCTGTAGAAATAACATATGAAAATAACGATATGACAGACAAACTACGTTTACATAGTCAGTTCCGAAAAGCTTAAAAAACCTCACTTCCATAATCGTCTCACGTTTATTGAGTAGGATGTTTAAATCAATAGATTTAAATCGATATTGATAAACAATGTTATTCCTCTGATAAATAATTACCTATTGTTATTAAAAATCGCATTTATTATTGTGATAAACTACCTACAATAAATGCAGTCGCAAACAAATAATACTTAATTAAAAATATAAAAATAGTGCCTACTGACAAAACGCAAATTAATTAAGTTATCGGATAGAAAGGTATAATACATTTATTCTTTTTAGGTATAATAAATTTATTGTTTTTAACATGGATAATACAGATTCTTCAACAATATACCCGTATCCTACGTTAATTAAAAAACATTATAGTAACTATCCAGTAGTAATTCTAAAACAATGCCACTGATCTATTTAACAGAACTGGTACTTTAAGATTTCATAAAAGTCACTGATAACGGCTTTTTTAATTCAATTTCTTGTTTTTAACATATCACGTGGGATTAGGGTTGCCAGACGTCACGCTTTTGGCGTATTTGCCACGCTTTTTGACTTGCTTGTACGCGCAACGCCACAGTACGCCACGCTTTTGACAAAAATGCTACTCTTTTTATGCAAATGCCATATACAAAAATAGACAAATCTGCGGCTAAAGGACCCTCTTTTTTACGAAATATAAGGTGAGGACCTTTTTTTTTTCACAGATAATGGGCCTGATTATACAGGGTGTCCCAATGAAAAGTAACCCATTTCCAGAGCTTATAACTTTTAAACAAATCGTAGAAACGTGCGATTTTTGCTGATATGTGTTATTTTGTTATAAGTTTTGCTTCAGTGACACAGAAATTATGTATTACCTATACAGGGCGTTTTTAAAAATCTCTTTTAAATTCACCCTAACTAAATTTTATCAAATGGAAACGGGCTACTTTTCATTGGGATACCCTGTATAAAAATGCTTGGTATTTAAACCTAATGCTCTGTTATCACGGTTGTCACGCTTTTTACTTTCGGAAATCTGGCAACCCTACGTGGGATACGGGTATTGTTAAAGACTCATTATTAAGATGTACATGGGTCAGTTAAGGTCTTTTTACGTCTGAACACATGTACCTAATTAAATTAAGCACATTTGGGAGAGCGCGACCGATGAAGAGACGCGACACCAAGTTTGACACGGCAATATTTGCTGCCTTGCTGTTGTCATCTATCGTCTGCCTCGGTCTCGCGTTCCCTAATAATACCTTAATTTGTCATTTTGTTATTTGTCTAAATATTATTGAATTTTAAATTAAAATTGACGTATCTTAAGATAATTTAAATCAATCAGGTTGAATTTATTGGATTCTCAATAGTTCATTAATTTGTATAATATGGAAAGTATATGATATAACAATAAGCAAATACTCAATTATTTCCACTGTTATTTCCTGTTGCCTACCTTTAGTTTGCAAAAGTTATTTTTGATATGTATATAGTGTTGCATAATTTTCAGGCGTTTGCAAGTTGAAATGTACAGAGTAGTACTGGCATATTTATACGTTATTCGAAAATGTTCAGTATTTTAAATACACAATAGAACTATACTTCAGTACCTCAGGGTACTGTTCTTGGGCCTATACTTTTTAATTCATGTACAAACGGACTTTCTTCAATACAAAGCTGCGGTGAAATAATTGGATTTGCTGATGACACAGTAATATTTTATGAGGGACAAGACTGGATACTCTAAAAACAGTTGCTGAAAATGATTTCGCATCTATTAAACAATTCTTAGACTCAAAATTACTGACGCTAAATCTAGAAAAAACAAAATACTTACCCATCAGTTGCAATCCAGGTGGATTACCAGAATTTCAAAGTTTAAAGATCACTAGCAATGGAAAAGTGTATATTTCATCTGAAAATAATATAAGGTATCTTGGCGTATATATTGATAGACATTTAAAATGGGATTGTCACATAAATTATACCGTTAAAAAGCTACAAATTATCCCCTATAAATTAAAAAAAAAACATTTGCCCCTAGAACAACTTCGAACTTCACACTATTATCTTGTAGAAAGTCATATACATTATGGTATTGTAGCATATGGGATAGTGCTCTGCATAGTCACATTAATAACCTAGAAATAATACAACGCAGATTTTTGAAATTAATAATAAATAAAAATTTTAGATACCCATCAGATATACTTTACGAAGAAAGCAAAATAGATCAAACAATGTACCCTTGGTGGAAAGATCTTTAACTCAAAGGTCTTTTTCATATCTAGGACCTAAGATGAATAATCACTTACCAGAGGAAATGCAATCCAAGGTTACTTTCCATTTGTTCAAGAAATTGTAAGGGGTTTTCTCGCCACAGAGAAAACGATTCCTTACGAATGACGCTGGTTACGGGCGGTTCTCGAGCGCCAGATTTTTGGTGATGGTTTACTCCACGAACTTTCGAAACGGCGTCGAAAGTACTCGGGTAGCTACAGATGGAGATGAATAATTCCAGGGGTCAAAGGTCACTTAGACACAGGTAATAGTAGGCCACAAGTAACGGGCTTTAATCGTTGCTTGGGCTGGTACAGAATTAATCACTAGCTGAAATATAAGGGGGAAATAAATTTAGGAATTAACAACCAGTAATACGGCCAGTTAACATTGACACATATATTGTTTTAAAATATTTACAAACGAAAAGGAATAAATTAATGTATTTCAAATGTTGTTCCCCAAAATATATTTTGTGCGTCGGTTCGGCGTGGCTCAGTGGTCCAGGATGGCATGGCGAAAACGTGACAAGAGCTTAGGTTATGTTTACGGTAATGGAAGTTCCTCGAAGTCAATACCTTCGTGGGAGAGATCCACGGGAAAGGAAAACCTGCAAAGTCAATACCTTTGCAGGAAAGGGTCTGGACGTCGGGAAGCCTACAGAGTCAATACCTCTGCAGGAGCAGGAGAGGAGAGTCTTACTAAGTCAGTACCTTAGTTCGACTGACGAGAATTAAATTCGGAGCTCTTTATATACTTGCATGTCTCTGCTTGGCAAAAACGGCTACATGCTGAACCATAGGCGTATCTAAAACGGTGTTACTGGGGAACATCGTTACAAAATACTTAAAAATATTTACTTTCAATACCCCAAGAAAATATATTTCAGATCTAATTGAAAATAAAACCTAAAAAGTACCTACTCACTATTTAAGAAGGGTTGATGTTTTCGTATTATAATTTACCAAGCAATATTTATATCAGATAATTCGATGGTATGATCCATTTCTCGTTCTTTCCTTATTTTTTTAGTATTATTATTATTGTTAGTATTATTATATGTAATTTACTTTTATTTTATTTTTTCTATAAAAGAGAATATAACAAATCCCTCGTGTCACTTGTTAAATCAGATTTACATTTAAAACAAAATATTAAAAACAATGGACAATATATCCCCTTATATAGGCAATAATATATTTGTAAAATTGTAACAGAGGGTCTTGCAAATAATCATGATTTCTGTTAACTAATTCATTTAACTCATCAGAATTTTCTTTTTTGGGAAATCTGAAAGGAAAACATTTTTGTTATTTGGCCTTTATTTGTTAGTTAAAATATGTAACAGTTTTATATAATATAGTTTTCTGCTATTTTTGGTTTATATGGGAAAAATTCATCTCTTGCACGGCATAAAATGGAATTTTTCAACCAGAAAACCATAAGTATATGAAACAATTACCATAAAATTTTTTCATCTAGAAACTATTTAAAAAAGAAAAATAAAAATATATTTTTTTAATACTACCTGTTTCTTGATATCATTTTGTATGCTATACTATCAAATTTCGATTTCTTTTTATTACGAAGACCACATTATTTGCTTTCACAATATTATTTAAATATCACACAAAGAGAAAATAAAAACACGAAAAATTGATTATACAAATCACATGAATGAAATTACCAAAATGCGACAGCTGTTTGACGCAAGTGCCGCATCAATATGGCGGACTGATGCCGCATTTGACCACGTGATCGCGTCTCCTTATAATACTACCTCAATGGTAATATGTCTCTCTCTGTTCAATACGTAACGTGCTATAACTGACTTTCTTTTTCATTTCATAGGGATATGTGTGAGACAGACAATAAACTCTGATGGATATTGCAACGTAAGGTTGCTATTACACAAAACTTTACTAAAAGTTTTATAATTTCAGTAATAAGGTCATGAAGGTATGATTAGTAAAGGAGGAAGGTGTAGGTACAGCATTATTTTACTGTCACCTCTCACTTCTCCATTATGAAAGCTATGACAATGTCAGATATATTAGAAACATTTTTGTATATAGGAGAAGTCACTCAAAAAAATGGACGCCGAGGAATATTACGATTCTCTAGATGAAAGTTCAGATTACGACAGCTGTAAATGTCCAAAAACGAAAAAGATGTCATCAGCAAATTTTAAACAACAGCAAGAAGATGATGATAATACGGACGATTCGATACCGTTCTATAAAGGCACTTTAAGCATGAGTCGGTTAGATTTTACATCATCGAAATGTAGCGGATTATTGGGAGGACAAAATCGCAAAACTTCCAGATCGAGATTAAAAATGTCGATAGCACCAAGACCTAAACCAAAAAAGTCTTATTTGGAAATATTTTACAATAAAACTGGTGCTAGTAAATATGATATCGAAGGATTAGACTCTTCAAGACCAACGTGCTCTAGTTCGTCGCCTAAAAGTTTCACGACTTGCGATGGAGATGTTGTTTGTGATGACGTCATTGATCTTTATTTAAAGAGTGATTCGGAAATAAGGTATTTAATATAGTACAGGATGGGGTAGAATAAAGAGCGGTTTTGAAAAACGTGATATGGTCCAAGGTCGTTAGGAGATGCCGGGGATGCTGTTCAGCATAACACAAAAAATACAATATTTATATGGAGTGGTGGACTTCCCAGCACTGCACGTTATCAAAACGGTAATTTTTGGCATTCCGCACCGATTTCAACACCAATTTTATTGCGCTATTTGAATAGTCAGAAAGATGATTATATGACCTTTGCTCTGAGGTATTTGTAATGGCCAACAGAGTTATACGAGTACCATACTCAGAGTACCCTAACAAAAGAGCACTAGCCCTGTTGTATATATTCTAATTTTTCCATATCCTAGAGTCGTGTACTGATTCATCTCTACGAATAGAGAGTTTTATTATTGGTACCTACTTGTGTACAGTCCTATAACACCAATATCTGAAGCACAATTTTTGCCACGTAACTTTAGTTGTTTGTATCATGAAAATTTATTCCAAATATTGAATGTTTGCAGAATCGCGTCATAACATTGGTAACAGTTCGAAATACCGTCGATTGATGGGTATAAACATCTGCTACGCCAGTTTGAAAGGAATCCTCAATCGGCAGCATAACTCTCATTCGTTCTACGTTATTCAAAGCTTTGTCCTTATTTACTTCTGCCTTTTAAAAAACTTATCAGTTCTCTACTCAACATTAGCTTTGCTAAAACCTTATACATATCTTGGTAGGCTGATACTTAGGCATAAATTCTGTCATCGCGTACATATATAAACCTTTTTTTGTGGTTGAATCTAACCTAAGGTATCTCGCATTTTTGAGAACAGATACTAAGAGGTCGGAGAGCACGTTTGACTTACAGGAAAACAAAAATAAATGTAGGTATTTAAGTAGCGAGTAGCTCTTTACGAAAAGAGTAGACACCAGTTTTGAGCCTTTGACTAGCATTTTTATGCATATCAAATGGAGTGTGGCTACATTGAAAATGTGAGTAAAAAGTAGGTACTCAACTTTATGCATTACCCAATACACCCAATACAAATTATGATACCAAACGTTTTCAGAATATCTCCAAATTCACAGAAAGCCTACAGTTAAAAAAAATAAATCATATCAATGACAATTAGATTGTAAATTTTGCAATGTAATCCAAATAAACCATAGCGGGCCGTATATCGGACATTGGTGGAGTTAGTTTTGATACCCTGGGTTATACGAAGGGAAATACACAATTATTCAAAACAAGACATGTTTGTAGTTACAAAAAGGCCAAATATGTTTTTAGAATGAATTAACACACCTACTATTTATAAATTATAAACAATATTATTAAACAATTATCAAAAATAGTTTGTTCATAAAACGTTTGAATCAAGGACGAACAACTATTAGACTTACCATTTCATTAATAAATAAGCACTTGTTTATTTGCAAGCATTCAATTCGTATGTTATATTAGACAGATGGAGCCTCGTCCACCGCTTTAGAAAGAGCGAAACGACCATTAAATTGAGTGGAGATGATATTTTGCGGACACGCGTTTTATGAATGAACTGATGGAATGAACCAATACTTATTGTTATGTCCTTGCTTTATACTATTGTCACACTGCCAAATAAATGACCTACTTTCGTGGAATACAATAGTTGCATCAGAAAAAGATATTAAACTGATAATAACTGGCATTTAGAATAGAAATTTGCTTCCTTAATGTAATTTTGAAATACTTTTATGTGTTTTAAAGTCTTTTGTTGAGTAATTTCCCAATTATTACTACAAATAAACATTCATTGTACATAGAGTCTCCCGTAATATGGATACATAGCAATATGTTCTTTCGTTCGTCCCTTTGGTGTAGGAATGAACTACTAGGTATATCCATTTGCCTCGAAATTTCCCTGGTGCTAATGTGAGGATTCTCCGTTACTGAACCTAATACTAGAAATTCGTTGTCTTCATTATCAACTACGGGTTTACTCACAGTTTGTTTTGAATATGCAACACTGCCTGTTGTACGAAAACGTTCTAAAACTCTTTCAAAAGTTCTCTTATCCGGTTGATTTCTGTCTGGATACTTTTGGGCATAAACCCGTGTTGCTAAAAAACAGTTTTCATAACACTCACCTATGGTGAGAATCATATCCATCATTTCTGTCATAGAATATTGCTTCATTTTAATAATAACATTGTACAAAACACAAAATAATACCTATTAGAAACAGTTTAAATTAAAATGACATAAATTGACAATCAATGCCCAGACACCTTGATTAACTAAATTTAATGAATTATTTACATAAATTATAAGAACTAGACTATTCTCTAAAACAGTGCTCCGCAACCGGTGTGCCGCGGCACACTGGTGTGCCATAAGCCGACTTGAGGTGTGCCGCTCTTGCAGACAATACGAATCAGATTCGTATTGTAGCGAGACCCGCGAAAAATAAAGCAATCTGACAACAGCGCCGATGGTAAACGTCTATCCGTCTATCGGCGCGGCGCGGCGGCTTGATTCTCGAAGGCGACTAAACTAGAAAGATCCGTGCCGTTCGAGGCGCGACTCGATGTTTTCCTGAACATCGCCACTGCCTATATAAGCGCGCCTGTCGTCGCTCAGAGACTCAGAGAGAGTCGAATAGTCAAGTGAATCAGATAAATACGCGGGCAAACAAATAAATCGTAGAGTGAAATAAATAGTGAATTGCTATATAAATAAATTCTTGTGCCTTATAAATAAGTGAACTGGACTAAGTTTTGTTGCAGTATCTACTTTTATAAATAACTATAGTGCTTCAAATATGGATAAATTTTTGCTGAAATCACGAGCAGATGACGAAGAACCTAGCACAAGCTCCAGCATAAGTGCTGCAAAAAGAGCAAAAAAGGTGCTGAAAAGGAAGTACAATCAAGACTACCTTCGATATGGTTTCACTTGGTGTGGCGACGAAGCGGCTCCAAAGCCTGAATGCGTCATTTGCGGTGAACAGTTGTCAAATGAAGCAATGGTACCCAGCAAACTAAACCGTCATTTGATCACAAATCATCCCAGTTGCGTCAAAAAAGACATTCAATTTTTCCAACGGCGCTTGGATCAAAATAAGAAACAAAAGCAGTTTATGAAATCGGCGGTTACGGTTTCTGAAAAGGCATTAGAAGCAAGCTACCTTGTTGCAAAATTAATTGCACAACAAAAAAAACCGCACACTATCGGTGAAACGCTTATTAAACCAGCATGCATGGAAATTGTTAGACTTATGCTTGGGCCAAACGAAGTTAAGGACGTGAGTAAAGTTTCTTTGTCGGCCGATACTGTTAAAAGACGTATCCAAGATATGTCAAGTGATATTTTGGGAACACTAATTAAAAAAATCATTTCGGCTGGAATTTTTGCGCTTCAAATCGACGAATCAACCGATATTAAAAATAAAGCACAACTGATGGCTATTGTACGTTTCGTTGACGAGGACTCTATTAAAGAACATTATTTATTTTGTAAGGAGGTTCCAGAGAGAACTACCGGTGAACAAATTTTCCAAGTAACTGATAATTTTTTTAAAATACATAATATTCAGTGGACCAATTGCGTTGCTATTTGTACAGATGGTGCTGCTGCAATGATGGGCAGTAAGAAAGGTTTTGTATCTTGTGTAAAACAAAAAAATCCGTCAATACAAATTACACATTGCTGCATACATCGAGAAGCATTGATGGTCAAAAATTTGCCCGAACAGCTTTCGATCACAATGAATGAATGTATTAAGATCATAAACATAATTAAATCGAGAGCCTTAAATTCGCGAATCTTTGGAATACTCTGTGAAGAAATGGGAAGCGAACATGAATCCTTACTGTTTTATACAGAAGTTCGTTGGTTATCCCGGCGAAAAGTTTTAGCTCGACTGTTTGAACTTCGCTACGAAGTGCGTGAGTTTCTTTCAAGTCAAGATATGTACGATCTATGCCAGCACCTTCATGATGAATACTGGATAGCCAAACTTGCATACATGGCGGATATATTCGAACATCTGAATGAACTTAATAAAAAAATGCAAGGACGGAATGAAAATATATTGACGTGCTCCGATAAATTACAAGGGTTCAAAAAGAAACTTGAACTTTGGCAGGAACAGTTGCAAAAAGGATGTCTAGAAATGTATCACAGGACCAACCACAGTACGATCGAAAACAAGCAGTTGATTGTGGATTTGGCCCAACAACATTTAAGTATGCTTCAACAAAAATTTGAATACTATTTCCATTCTATCAACACGGAACAATACAATTGGATTCGAAATCCTTTCGCAACCAATGCAATAAGTTCCACGGAAGCACTGCCATTGCAAACTCGAGAGGAGTTCACAGAATTAAGTAATGATATGACCCTAAAACTTAAATTCGACGAAGTTCCGTTAGATGTTTTCTGGATTTCCATCAAGACAGAATATCCACGCATCACCGACAAGGCCATCTTCACACTACTTCCGTTTTCCACAACATATTTATGTGAGCAAAGTTTTTCAACGCTTGTATTAATTAAAAATGATAAACGGTCATGCTTAAAAGATCTTGACCAAGAAATGAGAGTTGCGCTGTCTAAAATTGAGCCGAATATTAAACTTTTGTGTTCAACGAAGCAAGCGCAGGTATCACATTAATCAGTCATCATCATGTCAAAATATTTATTACTATTGACGTGTCAACAGAAGTAAATTTAGTATACCTACCTGTCCTACCTAGTATTTAGTATAGTTCTCATGTATGTACCTATTTGTATTTTTCATTCTATCTGAATAATAAAAAAAAATAAAAAAAAAATATGTATTATGTCCTGAGTGAAAATTTTGATGCCCCAAATCTGAAAGGGGCTTCTTCACATTTTAAAACAATAAAAAAAACTAAGGTAGTTTGGACATCCATAAATAATTAGTATACATGGAGTGAACTGACCCCCGACCTAGCTACGCCACTGCTATAAATATATTTTAGATTTTGGTGTGCCACGAAATTCTAGGGAGCAGTTTGGTGTGCCTCAGATGGGGAAAGGTTGCGGAGCACTGCTCTAAAACAACAACATATAAGTATAGGGAATACCTATGTATATTATTTGAAAGGGTTTCGAAAGATATTTCTAATAATGTTAAAATATACTGGGTGTTCTATTTGAAATAACTAAGTTTTTGGTGTTTAAATCTACGTAAAATAAATATCTATTTCGTAAACACCCTATACGATATTTTTGATCAGTAAGTATTTGAGGTTACATCCCAGAAGACGCTTAATCTCTTTGAAATATTAAGAAATGTAGGGTATATTTGCAGTTTTTAAACACCCCAAAATTTTGAAAATCCTCGAATATATCAAAAATGATAGACTCTAGGTATAACAACCCCTTAACAAAGTTACACTAATTTTCTTTGTAGATTTCAAAAATTCAATAAAATATAGGGTGTCCCGATTAAAAAACCTAACTTTGGATGGGGTGCTCCAATTTCCTGGAACACCCTGTATTATTGAAATTATTTTAAAATTGTTGCGTTTTCTGATATACATCTCACCGTAAAAACCGATTTTTTAAAAAAAGTTTAGTTTTGGATATACAGACCGAGGCGTTACCGGTGGACCACCCTGTATATATCGAAATGTGATTTTTTTGAACATTCTTTGTTATTTTACAGTTCAGAAATTAAAGATGTATCCCCGAAACGTATCCCTATATTAGATTTGCATATGGACAGTGGAAAAGGCGATTATAAATTCAACAGTGTGATAGACAAAAATAATGATAAAAATATGTGCTCCCGTTCTAATAAAAGTAATATTTCGAAAAAAAATTCGAAAGTTTTAAGGATACCCCAAAATACAACAATCCAAAAATTTGAAATGCCGACTTCGAAGGTTTGTATGCAACTTTTAATTTTTATAGGTTGATAATCTGAAGTAAATTTCAAAAGCTGATTCATTATTATTGATCTGCATCATGTTCATAGAAATAGTATAGAAAGCCGACTCCATATATCAAAAATGAAACCATAAGGAGAAAATAGTGTGTCGGAGCTCATGCGTATAACGGTGCTGGCTCGAACAGGACCGGTGCAAGTTTTTTATTGATCAAACAAATAGTTTCACACCATATTTCATTCAAAAATTTATATAAAAAATCAAGTAAGATAAATATGTTTCTGAAAGAAAAATATGGCATGAAAAATGAATTAGTTAATTTTCAGAAATCATTAGTGCTGCAGTCACGAGATTTTTCTTGTGATTTGACATCTTATTTGATTTAGTACCATTTGCTACAAGTAAATTTAATTTGAGTAGTGCAAAATAGGGGGCAGTTGCGTTTCACCCAGGAATATTATGTTCGATATTTTTTTACATTTTGTCAGCCAAGACTGTGAGTCGTTACTTACAATTAGACAGAAAACCTTTCATGTTACCATTTTCAATATAAATTATCCAAAGATGTCTGCATCTTTCAAGATTCAAGATTAAAAAATACTACTACATTTACTTGGTACTTGGTACATATTTTATTTTAATTTTGAACCCTTTTAAAAGGGTCTTTCGGTTTCATAATAAAAGTTAGTTGCTGCTTATTAGAAACATTCTATATAGTCTAAACCAAGTTTATGGATTGTTTTCGATCAATTTAGTACAAAGATTTTAAGTTTTTAGTCGATGATAATATTCCACATCAGCACATTGCAAACCTATTTTATAGATAATAAGAATAAACTTGTAAATCATTAATTTGGTAGTTATCTCACTTATAATGATTTTTTGTTTATATGATTCTTTTGATTTATAAATATATTTTGGCCTTACAATACGAAGCGTTTTGTATCTAACACTTTTTTTTATTGAACGATGAATGTTGACAGGCGTGTATCTTTTTTGGAACAAGAGGTGCTTTAACGGCGGAAATGATTTTCGAACTATCCAGTTAGTTTGAAGAAAGTTTGAAGAAAGTCGTTAATAACATTAGCATGTCGTTCATTTGTTTCATTTTGATCAGTTTTCATTCTAAATTGCATAGAATACTCTTCTTCCGTTTCAAAATCGAGATTCTCGATATTTTCACAGTTTATTTATAATACTTTCTAAACTGGCTTTATATCTTCATAATATATGTTATCACCCTACTTTGCACTCAATTAACAATTTTTTTTTAACATACTTTAAAATGGGAAGATATTCTCAATTCGTTGAAATATTTTATTATGTATGTTGAGCGATAATTCTTTACCACGTTACCCGATTTCTATGATTCTCTTTTTGTTAGAAAATGAATAGTTCTATATAAATTTAGTCAAGATCTGAAGATGGAATCTATGAGAAAATCATTAACATCTTCATTTTTAAAGTAGGTCTCTTAAAATTTCTTTAAACCGTACTGGTTCGCATGCGGTAAGGAATGAAGAAATGTAAATAATTGTTGTGCCGGCCAAAAAGCGAAGAGGAAGTAACGATTACAATATCGAGTGACAGAAGTTTCTAAGTTCGTTGAGATCGGATTTATATTTTAAAATGCCTTGAAACCCGCATTTAAAAGTATACAATTTAATAGGGTTAATTTTCAGTTTCTACATTTGAAAATATACCCGATGCCAACTCGGCCAGTGATGCCATAAATGTTAGGTACAAGTACAATTTAATAATGTTCATTTTAAAATTCTTTATTTTAAATTATATCCGACTGAAACTGTCTCTGGCGTCATGAGCGTTGTGCAAAGGTATAAATTCCAAATAAGCAACATTTCATGTTCCATCGCTCTCAGGAATAATAGAAGTGGCATCTCATTTAAAATAAAAAGGAAATAACAGAACTGTCAAAATATTTTAGATTTAGTTTACTATGTTTAACAATTTTTAACAAAAAATCATTCATTGTTTTGTCAGATACCGATAATGTCTCCCCGTCGCTGGACATCCTGTATATAAATATACAGCTATCTATTTACATAATTATAATTCTTAGGTAGGTTTAAATTTCCAGACATAAATCTTGTAGTAAATATAACAGCTGCTAAATACATTGATTACATGTTCATTAGCCAAAATGTAAAAATGTCTTTTATTGTACCTATGATTTAACTTAACACTACACGAAACTAAAAATAAAATGTCGTGTAATTAAATAATAAAATACAAATTCAAGCCAAAATATCACAAACGGTCCTGTAAGGGCAGCGTCATATTACCTTGAAACACCGGATTAAAGTGGTGTTGCCAGGTCAATATTGAATTTGTAGGTGAATCGCTTGTTGTACATTAATACCGTATTTGTATATATTTTTGAGAATGTAATTACACATAAATATTATTAGTTGATTATTTAAATGTTTATAAAGTATTTTGTGGCGATATTTCGTAGATATAAACTGATTAAATCATATAATTTCAAAATAAATTAATTTTAAATTCTTTTGTGTTAGGTATGTTTAATATAATTGGCAACACTACGGGGACAAGTCATGCATACTGCGCAAGCTTCTAGACACACTATTTTGCGATGTCAGGCACAGAGACGCGTTTTTATGCACAGTAGGTTTCAATTTCTGCTTGGATGTTATATTTATATTGGTCTTCTATATTATTTCTATGATCATGTTGCAATAACTATCTAGCCAGCAAAAAATTGTGTCAACGGGCGGGAAATAATCTTCACAATAATTCATTCTAAATTTCGATATTGTCTTCATTATTTTCAATGCTCTTTTACAAAATATAATGAGTTTAAAAAGGATTGAAATTACAAAAATTAAAAGATTTTCAGTGTTTTATAGTAGTAACGAAAGTTGTTTGTTTTTAAGTTTACTCATATATAAATCAATGCACCTATAATAAAAGGCAGACAATTTTTTCTAATACCATTTTGAATGCTGTATATTATGAAATAAAAATTGTAGTGGGGGTTGAAATTTCAATATTTTTATTACTGGATCAAAATTTATTTTTTTCAAAAATTGTATCACGCCAATCGTTAAATAATAAAAAATATTGAAATTTCTACAATGCGTATTTCATATATAGCATTCAAAAAGTTGTTTGTTTTTTTTTATTATCTTGCTATTGATGTAATAAAATTAAAAAGAAAAATTCGTTCCAGCAAAAAAATAGCGAAATTTCAACCTCTTCAAATGATATTAACATAGTTAAATCAATACAAAACATGCTGAGTGCTTTCTTATTTATTGATAAAAGTACATTCTTAGGTAAAAGCAATTTCTTAATTTTGATTCAAACTATACCCATTGTCATACACGTAAGCTGTATTCAGAAATAAAGTTTTTCAATTAGAATAATAAAAGATCAAAATCGAATGAAATCGAAACAGGTCCGGACTTAGAAGGGTCATATTTCTCTAATTATTTAGTTTATGAAAAAAGTATCTTGAAAATGATTATGTGGAATTCTATACCCGATTAAAAAAATATTCAACTCATAAAGTACATTGTATAATAACGCTATTAATAAGAAAAGAGAAAAACACAACATTTATTAGATTTTTGCTAAAAATTGTAAAGATTGCAAGCGCTTTCGACGTTTTTTAGACAATGAATAAAAGTATGCAATAGTTTTTAAGTTAAATACCTAATTAAAATATTTAATAATTAATTATCTTACCACTAAAAGAAATCCATAAAGCTTGATCAAAAAGTTATATAAAAGTAATGTATTAAAATTAAATTTGAAGATTAATGATAAAGAGAATAAACTTTGAATTTATTCTCCATCTTATGAAGGCGACGTCAGATTTTATTAATGTTGTTTTGTTTTTAGTTGGAGTCTTGGAAAAAGCGGCTACAATATGGTAGGAAAGCAAGCGAGACGAATAGAATACAAATGCAAGAGAAGAGGGCCTTGCAAACTTTGGAAAAAGAAACAAAAAATTCAAATAATATAAGTACATGATTAATTTTTTGTCTTGCTATAAACCTTTCGTTTCTCCAGGGTTGGATGATAGATCAAACATAATTATTACTACTCTAAATATATATTTAATAAACATATTTGTCTTACGTCTGTTTCATTAAAAACAAACACCCATATGGATATTAGCTTATTTACGCACAGACTACAAAACGAAAAAGTATGCCAATTGCGTTTAACTAAACTATATCCATTTTACCTAGTAATAATAATAAAAAAATAAATCTAAAATTCAATCATCGGACCATTGGCATTACAGGTGTATACAGGTCTACACAAGCATTTATAAGGGATTTAGAAAATGTCATACCAAATCACCTAAATAGAAATATTTATAGGGGACATTAATATTGATCTCCTAAATATAACCAATCAAGTAACTACTGATTACTAAGCAACTTTTTACTCCCATGGTTTCATGTCTTACATAAACACTATTACGAGGCCACAAAGTAAAACATGCTTGGATTATATATTCTTAAAAAATAGTATTAAGACTGAAAATCTATCGGTGAACTCTTATGTAATCAGCTATGATATGACTAATCATAATCCTATTATGATAAATATCTCACAATCTGCCAAAAACTACACAAGTTCCTACAATACATATAAAACTATAACTAAAATCGATACTGATAAATTAAAACAAAAATTCGAAACTGTAAACTGGGAAAGTGTTTGCAATGAATATAATCCAGAAATTGCAACACAACTTTTTTATGGCACGTATCTTAATATCATTGAAACATGTCAAACCACTCAAAATATTAAAATTAAAATCCATAAAAAAATAAAACCATTGATAACAAATGGTTTAATTAATTCTATTAAAACTAGGGATAAACTTAAAACAAATCTACAAAAAACTATACTATTAACAAACAAACTCACTATAAAACATTTAGAAATAATTTAAGGAGGTCCTTTCGCCACCAATGTTAAATAGTAGATGTCCTTATTTATCTAATAGTGAACTTTTAACTATACCTTACCGTGCAAATTTTTGAGAAAAATTTTTTTTTAAAAATGTGTGTGTTTGTACAGTGTCTTATGAGAAAGTAAGAATTCAACAACAATTTTCGAATTATAATTAATTTTACTATTATTTATTGATTAGATGGAGTAGAAAAAAACTAAAAATAAGGTTTTTGAAATATTTAGGTTTTGTTTTTTACAATAAAATATATAGGTTACCGTGGAATTTATTGAGAAATTATTATTAAAAAATCACAAAAAATTTTCAACTAGGTTACTTGAAAATTTTTTGTGATTTTTTAATATTAATTTCTCAATAAGTTACACGGTTTACTATATATATTTTATTGCATAAAACAAAATCTAAATATTTCAAAAACCTTATTTTTAGTTTTTTTCTACTCCATCTAATCAATAAATAATAGTATAATTCGAGAATTGTTGTTGAGGACTTACTTTCTCGTGAGGCACTGTACAAATACTCACTTTTAAAAAAAAAATTCTCAAAAATTTGCAAGGTAAGGTATAGTTAAAAGTTCAGTATTAGATAAATAAGGACTTCAACTATTAGAAAAAAATTAATTTTAGTCATAATCTAATAACTTGTTTTTTAACATTTGAGGCGAGAGGTGTGGCGAAAGGACCTCCTTAAACAAACTAATATCAAAAACTAAAAATGACTATTATAACAATAAAATAAACCAAAACAAAAATGATCTGAAAAAAACATCAATTACTCTCTGAAGCAACTAATGAAAATCATAAAAAAAATAATACCAATTTACAGATTGTTAACCAATATAATGAGGAATTTGAAAATGATAATGAAATGGCGAATTACTGCAATAACTACTTTTCGACTATTGGCACTAATATGTTCACAAATATCCCTGAATGTAATGCGGATTTGCTTGTGTCACTGAAAAATCAATGTTTCTGAAACCGATATGGGAAAACGATATTATAAAACACATAAATAGTTTAAAAAACATTAGTGCCCCGGGATTTGATTGTATAACAGTAAAACATCTGAAACTACTATATCCGTATTTACTGGAACCTTTAATGCATATTTAGGTATTTACGTAGATTCTCATCTCAGATGGCAACATCACATTAATTACGTCATAAAAAAAATAAGAATGATAATGCCAAAAATAAAATATCTGAGGAATATTTTAAAATCTGAATATCTCCGTACGATCTATTTTGCCTTAATAGAATCGCACTTAGCATATGGGATATTAGCATGGAGTAGTGCTGGTATAACTTATTTAGAAAGACTTATCACAACTCAAAAAAGGGTTATAAAAATTATCTATAAGTTGCCACATCGTTTTCCTTCAAAACATATCTATAGTCAATCAAATATTTTAAATATACATCAGCTTTTCACCAAAATTTTATTACTCCACCAATATAAAGATAGGGACAACCTTAAAGCAATCGAACATACCTATAATACGAGAAATAAAAATAATTTTTCTGAAATTCCAAGAATGTATAAAACATTAGGGCAAAAATCACATATGTATCTTGGTCCGAAATTGTATAATCACGTACCAGCTGAAATAAAAAAAATTAATTCTTTTAATCATTTTAAAAATAAAATAAAAAATGGAAACTTACCATTCCCGAAAATTCCCTAAAACGTTTTTTGACAAACAGTAGCAGTATATTATAAATATTTATAAATATAAAAAAAGTTATAAAATATTATTTACATATACAAATATTTAAGTTTTGAATTTTTATCTGTAAGCGCAACTAATGTTCATCCTAATTTCTAATTTGTTTATTTTAATCACTGTTTATTTTGTACAACATTTTCAATTAAGTAAGTTTATTATTTTACTAGTTCCTTAAAATTTAATAAGTATGTATATATTGTTAATTTTAACACATTTTTAATGTTATTTTAAATATTTTAATTTGGTTAATTTAATTTTATTTAATACTCTAAAAGAGGAAAATATCACCTTTGCGGGTTTCTTTCTTTCTTTCTTTCTTTTGTTTATTCTAATAAGTTAAATGATATATTATTTTATTGTAATTATTTATCTGAATAAACTTTATTATTATTATTATATAATTAATTGTATTTTTAATACAGGAATCGTACCTAAACAATTTAAAACTTCAATTATAACACCCATTTATAAAGCTGGTAATCCAAAATTAATAACTAACTATAGACCTATTAGTTTAACTAGTAATGTGGCCAAAATATTTGAGAAATGTGTGAAAGATAGACTGACAGATTTTTTTAAAAACTAATGACTTACTTCCCAAGTACCAATATGGCTTTACTGAGGGTCTTAACTCAGGAGATGCTATGCATGAATTGATTTCATATGTTACTGATGAAATGAATACTGGTAACAAGTGTATAGCTATATTTCTAGATCTAGCAAAAGCATTTGACACGGTGCCACACCAGAAGCTCTTAAATGTTCTTGAACAGAATGGAGTGAGGGGCATCGTGTTGTAGGTTTTTAAAAATTATTTGACACACAGACAACAAAAGGTAAAGGTCAGAGACAATGTGAGTAACCCTGAAAATATACAAATCGGAGTGTCTCAAGGGACTGTTCTGGGACCTATACTATTTAATTTAGTACTTGACTCAGATTGATATTCAAGGTAAAGTTGTATCATATGCTGATGATACAGTGCTAGTCTTCAGTGATAAAGATTGGGAAGCCGTCAAGACACGTGCTATAGCTGGAATGGAACATGTCAAAAACTGGCTGGATGTTTTTAAATTGTCTTTGAATATTAATAAAACAAACTACATTGCTTTTTCAAAGACATTGGCTGATCGACCTCAATTTAGAAGCTTAACATGTCAAAATTTAGACATACAGGAAACAGAAACATCCAAATATTTAGGTATAATTATAGACCATATCTTTTCTTTATATATATAAAAATTTCATGTCACGATGTATATTCGCGATAAACTCCGAATACTGTATTAGTCCAGTCATTATAGTAAGTTCACCTCGGAATTCGAGATACCCAGCTGTAAGTCTGTAAATACTTGTATATTGACACCCTAAAAATTGTCTCAAAACCTACATATGGCCTTAGGGTGTACGCAACTATTAAATTTCAAGGTCAAAGGTCACAAAAGTCGGTTTTTTGCGCTTTTTTTTGTAAATATCTCATTTCCTATGGGTTTTTGCTATTTGTATTTATTATCAATATTGTATAATACAAAATTCTCTACAAATTTTGTTTAAAAAAATTTTTCATACGATGAACCGTTTTCGAGATAGAGGGCGGAGAGCGCGCAGTCACAGCATCACTTCTGGTCACCCGGTGCCTCCGGTCGAAAACGCGCCATATACAGAGTGTTTCCGAACTTGGCGTCCAAATTTGTAGGGGTGGTAGTTCGCATAATTTGAGACCGATTCGCAGATTTCATTTTTCCAAAATATTTAAAATAAAAATAATTAAAAATTATAAACAGCTACGCGCTCAGGGTAGGACCTGCTCTTTGATTTTTTTTATAATGGCTCTATTTTGTATATTATAATTTTTTTAGAAAAATTAAATCTGCCGATCACTCTCAAATTATGCGAACTACCACCCCTACAAATTTGGACGCCAAGTTCGGAAACACCCTGTATAGTTAGTTGATGAACTATCGGTAAATCAATGATTATAAATATTTGTCAATTTTTATTAGCTATTATATTATATTTTATCATTTTTTTCCTAAACTATCCACTTTATATTCAGTATTAATTTATTTAACAACACTTACCTGCCCATGTAATTGCAGAATTGTTAATGAAAATATAGGAATTATATTTGAATTTTAACCTAATTAATATTAATAACTTCTTACATGATAAAAAAAAAAAAACAAATAAATTATGAATTAATCTTTTTATTAAAAAATAGCATTCAATACATTTATTTTTATTAAAAGTAAAAAAATGGAATAAAGGGTACAGAAACTACAATTTATAATTTTAATCATCTTCTTCCTCTTCATCGTCGTCTTCCGGCTGCTGGTAAATTTCAAACTGGTCTTCATTATCGTCTTCAACGACATTTGTCTCAAGTTCTTCCATGATTTCGGGGTCAAAGGCTCCATCT